AGTTGGTAAGGAAGCATCCTCTCCTTCTACCAGAACCAAAATGTATTCCCCGCATGACAGAGTTGACGAAAGAGTTAGGAGAGACTCGAGTAACTTCGCCATGATGCTCCATCAGATTCAAGGAAATGCCAGGGCCCTTCGTAAGAGCATCACCACCACAACAGTCATACAGCAGCTCAGCACGTTTGAGCAGTTCATGGGACTCGCTCAGCAGAATCTGAGTTCCGATCCTTCCTTCAGTGGATATTTTTCTAACTCGTCATTTTATCCGGATTACCTTCAACGGTGGCTACAGCAAAAATCAAAGGAAGTTGCAAATTTTGAAAAATTTCAGAGGAAATTTATTCACTCGGGTGTGGAAGTTCGAAATGTCTCTATGCCGTACCAGAAAAACGGCATAACGGAAATATTCTTCTTTTATCAAGGCATCACTCTTGCAGACCCTTTCCTTGATAGTTTGAAGAACTGCTTGAATGGATATCAACAGGCAATTCTTCCTGCACCAGCCACTTCGGTGTACTGCTGTGAAGATCAAATTCAACTAATGCAGGAGATTCAACGCCTTTTTCTGCATTACCAGATGAGGAAGGGATCCTTGAATGTGAATTTCGTAGCAGCAGAATCGGCTCGGCTCCATCAACCCTATATGATCACGATTTGCGAAGGTCGAGGAGAAACTCCTCAAGTCTTCATCCCTCCAGCAGAACCGTCCAATCTCCGAGTTTGGCTTTCGCTGGATGGAGAAGGCATTGAAGTGCAGTGGAATAAGCCAACCATCGGATGCGATTACGTCGACAAGTTTATTGTATGGGTGAAAGGCTGGAGCGACCCCCCCGAACAGTGGAAGATTGGCACATCTGTGGCATCACCACCTGCTGTAATATCTGGACTTGTTCCTGGAGAGAGATATCTTTTTGCGGTCAGTTCTCTTGACTTCTTATGATTGTATGTAAATGAGTATTTTTTCTATCAATGTACATTATTCTCTACAGGTATCTGCATCCAGCCGTCTCGGTTTAGGACCACCTAGTCCAACAGTTAGTTGGGACTTCCCAATTATTCCAGGAATGAAAAAGGTAAATTTATGGTGTGCAGAAAATACTGCACATGAACAAATGTGAATGTCGACATCTAGCGTGGTATTTTAATATGTAAAGACTGATGCTATGGGTTTTCAGTGAATAGTTCTTTCCAATTTGTTTGATTTAGCGTTGTTTTTCTGAAAAAAAGGGTGAAATTCTTTCCAAGGAAGACAATACTATACGTATGATACGTACAAATACTATTAAGTTGTAGAAATTATGTTTTTAACACGCAATCTACAAGTCAATGAAAAAAAAATCAAGAGATATGGTGGGGTCAATAAAATTCGGAAGCCTGTATCAAAGACCGAAAAATGTATATTCGTGCAGTCCCTGATTTTCTGATCAAAAACATGATTTTATTTCTTGGACCACAGTTAGTTTTAAAGATATAGGGTATCAAAGTTGCGAACAAGAGGGGAGTGGCCGCACCTCCCTCAAAAAGGAGTTTAACTTTCTGCTACTTTCCCCACGATGCCTCTTCTCACTGTCCTTTCTATCAGAAGCCGACCGGCCTCCCTTTCGAGTCTACTTCATCTGAATCAGTACCTCGTTATGGTCACAACCACATCGACGACATTTTAAGCACAGATTGCACCTTGCAACCTTGAAATTGCATGAAATGGGTATTTCGCATCCGTAGACATTGTTCTCGCGCTCTGCCGTGAAAAACCAGTCAATGAACGTCCTTTCTGCGCGGAAATAACATTTTTATTTTGAGAGGTTCAGCCACTTATGTAATTTTTCAGGTTTTTTTTTCATCCGGCAGCTTCTCAGATTTTTCTTCATACTTCCGAAAAACACTAGTCTTTTGGCAATCTCTAAAGCTTGGTGTGTTCAGCATAACATAGAGAATTCACCGTCATCCTCCGATTTCCTTTATTCTCATTACAGGATTAGGTTGATTGAGTTTGATCCCACCAAAGTTTTCTTGTTGACTCACGGATTGCATGTTTAAAAAAGCAGCCATACTGTATATAATAACAATATTTTATGGGAATCCTACATATGTGAACCAAATTGCTCCAAGGAGTAAGTGTTGATAGAGGGCACCAATCCAAACTATTTTTTTACTATTGACCATGTGCATACGTGTATTTCATATCGTATCACGTTCAACGTCATGTATACGTATGGAAACGAAATGTTCACTGGCAAGGTTTAGCAGTTGCGCAAAACTTGCCGCTAAAACTCTATGCACAGAAGGAGAAAATCTGAAGGAATTATATTGGATTTCAAATTGGTTCATGACGGTTTAACCCTTCACACACACACAAACACGCACATACACGCACATTCGCACCAGATTTCATTTACAATCTTTATGGACACCAAAGATACGCAGGACATTCAGAAGCTACGACGGTAAGATTTTCGATTCAAATATAGAATTTGCACTCGAAAACATAAATATTCAACGGGTGAGTTTCTACAGTACCCAAATTACATGAGTCTACGATGGCCGTAATTATCTTCATCCACAAATTCTTGAGAAGAATAAGGTAAAAAGTTTCCATCGAATGTCATGATTGCATAGCGTATGAAGCTACAAGCAATCAAGATGTACATGTTCTCTCTACCAATTTTCAGGATATGCTCGTACTATTTCAGAAATGGGATTGAAGAATTAAGACAACCCTAAAATATATGGTTTCAATGGAATTCTCTGCATGTGTATCAGGAAATTCTGATATTATTCCTCTCGTAGGTAAGATTTATACCAATGATTCTCGTTCCCACCCAAAATAACCATTATTAAGAGGGAATATTCGGTAGAATATGCACAATATAGCTATTCTAAGCAGAATAGTATAGGCCTCAAAACATCACAGAATTAAAACTATCCCTTGCTGTCGTCCTCTGAACTGAATAGATGTCAATCTCCCGGAGGCCCATGGAATGTTCGCTGGCGCAAAAGATGAAGAAGAAGTGGAAGTTATCTGGCAGTATCATTGAGGTCCCACGGAGGAAAGTGATGGAAGCCGATGAACGTCGATTGGCCAAGTATGAAATAGGCAACAGGATGATGGGTAGTGGGCCGACGAAAGTACTTCTAGTCGTTGGAGCCACTGGTGCAGGTAATTTCAAATCCCGGTCATTCCATGACCGGAATTCGAATGACGAGATTCGACGCATCTTCGAAAAGTTGGTCAATAGTCATTCCATTGATTTATTATGCCACAAACCACGAAATTTCACTTTTTCTTCTACTTCTGCATGAAATCAATTGCCTTCAAAACGTTCTTCAAACCAATTTCCACGATACGTTACTTATTTAGAAATAATATTGTTGAGCCTTTGAATGATGAAACGTTGCTACTAACTTGCATGATTAAAAGAATCACGAATCAAGCACATTGGGAGCTAAATATGGAAATGAGGGCACAGAAGGTGTTATTAGAATGTACCAGGGCAGTCAATAAGTTCTAGGAACACCATTGTAACTTTCAGATGCCTTACCTGAGGGGAATGATCGTAATAGAATTTGAAAGCCCATTTTTCAATGTGCGTTTGGTACTAATTATGCATTTTTGAAACAGACTTGTCTGGTAGATATGACGTATGGGAGTAACCTTAGATTATATATCTGCTAGCACTGACTGATTGACTGCCTGCGATTAAGTTTGGTACAAGATCTCTTCAACCTTTAGTCTTTGAACCATGTGTACATGGATGACCCTACGTCTCAATTTTTTTTTTACCGACTTTGGAGGTACATGCCCTGGGGGTACACATTTTGGGGGGGAGAAATTTGTAAATATATATATATATATATTGTTACGGATAAGGATGGCATCGAGAGGCGTAACTAGAAGTCCTGGGTTCGGTGGTGTAGTGATAGCACACCTAAGCGGCAATCAGGAGGCCCAGGTTCAATTCCCAACCATTCCTTGGCTTTCTTTCGACTACTTATGCCTTCCAACTCCTGTTACTCATTCCCCTCCCTTACAATGCTGTTGTTCAAGCTAAATGGAGAGACCCGGAAAGCTGAAACTTGGCTTGGACGTGCCTATCGAGACGATGAGTTCAGGAAAAATGTAAAATTTAAGATCCATGCCCTGTGGGGTCATGGATCTAAAATTTTACGTAAATATTTTTAGGGGCCAACGTATTCACGTAAATTTTTTCCCTGGCGTATTGAGCTGGTGTGGAAAGATGAAACTTGGTACGTAACTACCTATTGGGATGCTGCGTGCAGAGAAACTCAGACTTTCGTAGTAAATGCCCCCGGGGCACAAATTTCAAAGGGAGATGTTTTCAAATAATTGTTTTTCAATTAGTTAAACTGATGAACATGGAAAGCTGAAGCTTTGCATGCATGTGACTACTGAGACAAAGAATTAAAGGAAAATGTTAAGTCTCGATATATCCCTAGGGGAATTTTTCCGAGGGGCGACGTTTAAAAAAAGATTTTATCGTTGCGAATTGGAAAGAAATGGAAAGGTGAAACTTGGCACACGTATCAGTCACATGATACCATTATTCTTGAGCTGTGGGAGTATTCAGCTTTCCTAGTGCATCCCCTCCTGGCATAGCTTTTGGGTGCGTCGGCTTTTCCAAACAAATATTTTCTCCAGGAAAAAACGGCAAACGTATAAGGTTGAAATTTTGTGGGCATGTAGTTCTCTGAGGATTGATTTGGGTAAAAAAAAATATACAGGGTGGCCCAAAAGTTTTTGGACCGATTTTTAAATGCCAATATCTCGGAAAGTATTGAAGCTAGAGACTTGAAAAAATCACCAAATAAAAGTTCAATTCATCCTCTTTCCAATGATGTATGGTTTTCCAGTCGTAGGTGTCATGCCATGGCCGCAATGGCCATTTGAAAAAACCATGCTTGAAAAATAAAGTTGTAAACTGAGGAAAAAAGTCACAAGTTCATTTTTAAGAGACAGAAACGGAGCTAACTTTTTATTTTTCGATGAAATGTTCAATGTGACCACCATTTTGATTCACTACAGCATTCAATCTCTTTCTCCACTTCAAAATGGCCTTCGAAATCCAAGTCTGGGAAAGCTCATCCCATGCTGCAGAAATTCGCTCCTTTAGGTGCTGGACGTCGCGGATTTTTGAACCTCGGTACACCTTCTGCTCCATAGCCGACCAGATGAAGTAGTTCACTGGGTTCAAATCTGGGCTGCAGGGTGGCCAGTTTTCAGGCTCGATGAAGTCAGGACAGTTACTGTTAAGAAAGTGCACAGTTTTCGTTGCTGTATGGGCTGGGGCGCCATCTTGCTGGAAGACATAATCTGGGCTCTTTTCCTCGATTTCAGCCAGCATGGGGGTCAAAACATCTTCACAATAGCTGTCCGCATTAATTTTAACTTCACGTGGGATAAAGAAAATTGACGTTTTCGCTGATGACGTGGCCGCAAGTGAAACCATTACAGAATCGGAGAAATGTTTCCGTTCACGCAGAAGTCGGTCTGGCGGTACGTTTCTTTTTCTTTCAACAGCAGCATGGACGCGGTCGTTTTGAGTGTTTCGTGGTGTTTCTGTAGTTCGCGCAGTTTTTGGTCGCCCTGTTACCGGACGACGCTCGTCACTTCCAGTTTCTTCAAGTTTTTTCAAAAAGTAAGCAACGGTGGACTTCTTCCACTTTCGGTTCGGAAATTCTTTTAGAATTTGATTCAATGAAAATCCTTTTTCCTCGCGAAGTGCACGAATGATTTTTTGATCACTTAAAGATAAACCGCGATTGACACTCATTTTAAGACCCCGTGGAAATAAAAACGGGTAATACAAACATTTTTTTCAAAAAGAGGAACAAAAGATGTAGCAAGGAAGTGCATACGAGGTCTGCCGAAAACCAGAAGAGCCAACAGTTAACAACTGAACTCGTCTGAGCATCGAAGCGTGGGCGTCTCACTTGTCCCGCATAATCCCTCACTTCCTCTTCCCTAGCTGTCTGCTGGTCAGCATCTTACAATTTCTACGCACCTAATGGTCCCAGTCGAGGTGCACTTGCCTGTCTGGTCTTCCCGGGTGTGACACGGATGCAGGATAGTAGCATCAAAATATCCTTGCAGCTCTTTTTTCAGGTTTGGTTTTTTCAAATGGCCATTGCGGCCATGGCATGACACCTACGACTGGAAAACTATACATCATTGGAAAGAGGATGAATTAAACTTTTATTTGGTGATTTTTTCAAGTCTCTAGCTTCAATACTTTCCGAGATATTGGCATTTAAAAATCGGTCCAAAAACTTTTGGGCCACCCTGTATATATACTTTTCGGGTAAAAAAGGCCCAAGGGCACATATATTGCAAAAGGCGTATTTTCTCGATCCAGCAAAACAGAGGGCGCTATGAAGTTTAAACTTGCCAAAGAAGAACCTGATGGATAGGTGAGTAAAGAAAAAATTCTAAATTTAATATATATAGAGGATCGTGAGCAGCTGACTGGCTGAGAAGTTCCTATTTGCATGCTGGGGTTCAGGAAAAATTGTACTTTTGGTGTGCGTCTCCTGAGAGCACATCTTTTCGGTGTGTCTCTTTCCATACACATTCTTTTTTGCAAGCAAAAAGAGGAAACGTATAAGGCTGAAACTGGATGGCATGGAATTCCCTGAGTCTGCATTTCAGAATAAATAACATTTTCGCTAAAACCCATTAGGAAACTTTTTTTCAGTCCCATTTTCCTGAATTGTTTTTGATCTAACGAAACAGAGCCAGAAAATTTAAACTTTCCTTAGAAGTACCTGTTTAATTGCTGATTACAGGAAAATTCCTACATCTGAAATGTGTCCCCTAAGCGTAGATTATAGGAGAGAAGTATTTCAAAATGTATTCTCCACCCTTACAAAAAGGGACACATGGAAAGATTTCAAGTTAGGATCACTAGAAATAATCGAAGTAATGATTTTGATTTCAAAAATCAAGACTTTCGTCCCCATATGTCACGTATTTCAATGGAGACGTACTTAAATGTCGTGTATCCTATTTCGCAAAAAATAAATGACTTAATCAATAACCAAGGTAATGGAGCGCCGAAGGCGCGACCATGGCAATTGGCATGGCGACCATTATTTGCAACACATCAGAACCCCTTTTCAGTTGCACCAATCATGAAGACGCTTCCCATCAAAGTAAAGTGGTAGAACACTTCAAAGAAAAATCGGCAACATTTTGAACGCATTGGTAACGCATATGACCATCTATGCGTAGAAACAGTAAAAAGTTCCTATAATGAATTTCTGGTAGAATATCTTAATTTAATTTAAAGTAGCGTTCAGTATTTGTTCTTTAAAAGGCGAGTTAGACTCACGAGAAACAATAGGGTGACGTGATACGCGCTTGGAAATAGAATTACATTATTCTCTTTTCCATCTCTAGGAAAGAGTACACTCATCGACGGGATCATCAATTACGTGTATGGAGTGAAATGGGAGGACGATTTCCGATTCAAACTAATAAAAGATAAAGCTGGTGATGAGAAAATATCCCAATCCCATAGTCAGACCAAATGGATCACCGCATATGTCCTTCACAAGGAAGAAGGATTCGCTCTTCCATATACTTTGACAATCATCGATACTCCAGGGTTTGGAGACACTACGGGTATACAGGCGGATCAGGAATTGATGAATCAGCTCAGGGTATTCTTCTCGAATGGAGGGGGTTTCGGCGTAGATCAGCTTGACGGAATCTGTTTTGTCGTCCAATCTGCCTTGGTACGACTAACCTGCACTCAACTGTATATTTTCAACTCCATATTGTCCGTGTTTGGAAAAGACGTCCAAAATAGTTTCTACGTGCTCGTCACATTTTCGGATAACAAAACCCCACCGGTCCTGGAGGCCATCAAGACTGCCAAGATTCCTTACAAGGAGTACTTCAGGTTTAACAATTCCGCTCTATTTCCAGAGAAAAAAGATGCCGAACTTGGGAAAACGTATTGGGAAATGGGTATCTCATATTACAAGAAATTTTTTAAAGCTTTCGAAGAAAGTACACCTGTTAGCCTGACACTGACGAAGAAAGTGCTGAAAGAGAGAAAACGCTTAGAGGCAGCCCTTCAAGGAATCCAACCGCAAATCACCGCAGGTGAGACGGCATATTTCAATTTTTGCTTTCTGAAGGAACCATTAATGCATCCAAAGTATTTGAGTCCGTTCGATGTACGTCTTATTTCCATCTGTAGGTTTGGGAAGACTTGAACACCTGAGGCAAGAACATGCAACCTTGAAACAGCATGAGGCAGATCTTGAAGCCAATAAGAACTTTGCCTACAAAGTCAAAATTCAGAAACAGTTGAAGGCAAACCTGAGTATCGGCGAATACGTCACAAATTGCTTGAAATGTAATTTTACCTGCCATTATCCTTGCACCGTGCCAAATGACGACCGTAAAGGAGACTGTGACGTAGTTGACTATGAGACGGGTAAATGCATGGTCTGTCCTTTGAAGTGCCATTGGCAGCAACATTTCAACAATCCGTACCGCTTCGAAATTATAGAGGAAGAGGTGACAAGGACCTCAAATGAGTTGAAAGAAAAGTATGAGCGTGCAGCAGGAGAAAAGCTAAATGCCCAAGGGATTGTGAAGCAACTCATCAAAGAATTCAACCAGGAAAGAGCGAAAGTTCTAGAACTCACGAACAGGGCACACGATTGCTTGCAAAGACTCGATAAAATAGCCTTGAAACCGGATCCATTGGGAGTAACCGAATACATAGACGTGTTGATTGAGGCAGAAAGACGAAGTGCTTGTCCTGGCTTCTCCCAGAGGATCAAATACCTGGAAGATACACGGGGTAAGGCGGAACTAGCCGCGAAGCTCAAGGGTGAATTCGACCCTTTCAAGGAATACATGAAAGAATTTGAGAAAGAGGGTTTCAACATATGCATATTTGACCCTGATCCTGATGTCAACGACGTTCCTGAGATGGCATCCACATCCACCGAACGGGAACATCGAATGGAACAGTTGAAGGTGAAGACAAAAATGGTGACGAACAAGATTGGAGAAGCCGTTCGATCAGGGAAATCTCGTCTGAACGAGGCACTTCAGAGAAAGAAAACTCATTCACCATCTACGGAATCCGAAGCACTTGAAATAAAAGATTAGGAGCGGGCTGCGACCGCTACGCTGGCCTTCTAATGGGAGGAAATATGAAAATATTTCCATAAATATATGAAGCAGTTCCATTCGAACCAAACATATAAAATTGTGAAACAAACCTCGAGAAGTTCGAAAGCGTTTCCATCTAGCTGATTTTACTATCATCTAGACCACATCTCACAAACAAATCACGAATGAAGGAATGAATCATACTTGGAAAAGATCATGTTTAATTTGGAAAGCCAGAAATGAGGAAAAATCATTTACTTTGGAAATAAATAAAAGAAAAAATAATCTCAGTATCGGGAATATTTCAAGATTAGTAGAATAAATCACGGCAATTACAATTCTGCAAATCGAAATCAAGAGCATACATTTGGTGGCAAAACTAACTTTTGAAGGAATTTGGAATCTGCAACATTTCCTCGTATTTCCGCTTCGTTCTCAGTTAGAATTCCATTGACGGTTGGGCCTTGCCTTTGCTCATCGACCACTTGGATTTTGAGGCAATCGGCATACCGGACTCGAGAACGCGCAACATATAGCTGACGGTGAGAGAAAGCGGGCTCTGGCAGCAAGAGACCAGCCATGTCAAACGTTTCTCTCTGAGCTTTGTCGATGGGCATACCGCATGCGAAACGTATCGGGGATTGTCTTTGACACATATTGAAGGAAATACTCGGATCGTTCGCTGTGGCAAGTGACACTCGTGGTAGTAAATGAAAGTTTCTGCGTTGCGCACCGGTGATGACCTAGATTTTCCTCGATGTATGAAAGATAACGTCCTTAATCAACCAAGTGCCATGATTGCAAATGCGATGGATTGAATGCGATTGGATTTCTCAATTAATTGTCAAGCGGTTTCCGTTACGTAGTGGCCGAATTCAGAGTAAAGCCGAACAATTGTTATACGATTATCGATAGTCAAGCATTCCTCAGTCATTTTCCTCTAGCTCCTTTCGATTTGAATCGATCGCATTAGAGACACAATCCATCAGACACAGGACAGACAACGTGACTCAGTGCCGCAGGCGTGCTTTCTAATGAAAAGACCTTCAAATGATCCCTGAAAATGGAATTCAAAATTACGTATAGGGAAAAGAGATACCATCGAAAAAAATGCAGACACTGTTTACTTGATAACAATCTCTTCTTTTGAATGATGTAAACCATGTCTTAATCAAACTTAGCATTACAAAGTGATTAAATTAAAAAAAAATGGTTCGTAAAAACACGAGTCCTTTGACTCATGTTTTTATGTCCAAACCTAGGGCCTAGAATAGCATAGCCTTTTAGGTCTTCCATGTTAGGCTGCAGTTGAATGACAACCATACACAACCGCTTCATGCCACTTTCAATTTTGATGGTCTTGCCTATGGCTTGGCATAGCAGAGCCTTGTACGCCTGGCGCTTTAGGCTGTGGATGGTCTGGCCTTTGACCTAGAACGGTATTGCATCGTAGCCCTCGCGCGTTGCGGTGACAGCCACCACAACTTTCGGCCTCTCTCAATTCAAGTACTAGTATTAGGCACAATTATCTGGTGAATGTACGGAGAGCTAAGATCGACCGCCCCGTACTCACGGAAGTGTTCCGCTGTCCACATCGAGCAACCATCAATCAGAACGAATTTCATTTGGAGCAGCTCACATGGTTTCTGTAAATAAATCGTTTGGAACTGTGACCACCAAGGGTTAATTTTAGTGCAAGTCATAACGATTTGACCGCAAGATGCTTTGCGGCTACACATGGCGAATGACACGGCTCAGCACGATTACATTTTACACGACTAGGTGTATGAAGAACGGGAATTTTATATTTCCGAGAATGGGGTTCAATTAAACTTTCTTTTTCAGGATCCATCCAATATGCAATTAACGTTTTGGATACGCTCTTTTCATCACTTGAATCGTATTCAGTATAGGTAGAGCCTTGCTCCCGTGGTTAGGATCAGACGGCTTAATGTTGCCGATTAGTCTGGTTGAAGGTATTATCTCCCATTGTCCAGGATAGTCTGTTGGGGAAGCATGGGGAAATTCAGTCTTACCACGGAAACTTTCAGCATATCCGCAGTTCTTTTATATTCAAGAGTCATACTTGCCCTTCACGGGATTCACTTTTCATGGGTGTGATTATAGGCATATTGATATTTTTGGTTTCTTTCTCTTTCCCATGAAATCACCTTGGAAATTGAATCATCGTCTCTCTTCCTATAGATCCAGAGTTCTCTGGAAACTGATAGGACTGGGTTACCTCTTAAAACCGATTTGTTCAAGAATTCGAGTATCTTCTGTGGTTTATGTGGAGAAAGATCAGTTACCTTGTGGAAGGCATTATAAGGCTAATTGCAATTGTATCAGAATTTGACACGTTATAGGGACTATTTTGTCGTCATATAGCGTCGGCTTGGCATGGAATGCCGAATGCCTGACATTCCATGTCAGTTCGCACACTTTTTTCCCGACCCCCTCAGATTTCAGTGAAATTCCGCATGCTGATAGAACTTAATGGGAAAACAAACTAAGCAAATTTCAGCTCCATACATTATGTATTCTGAGAATGATTGCTAATCTAAAATTCCACGATGTCGGGGCACTTTGAACCCAAGGATCACAAAAATTGTCATAACTCCGTTAGTAATGATTATAAAGATGAGAATATGGTATCGTTGGATAGATTATAAAATTCCGTATCAAAAGATATGTGGCACATGGTGATCAATTCAATGACCTTTCCCTGCATGTATTGTAATGATTTTGAAATTTGGCCTGACCATGATCTAAATTCCCACACTCGATTTCGCTAAAATTCTACAACGTCATCATTCATGTATACTGAAAATTTCATTTTTGGTTTTGGATGATCAACATAGATATGAGCATTTTGGCGTGTAACCTTCATAACATGTGTCTGTATCGCACAGTATCCATGGGCCATGGGCTCATACATGCGCTTCACTTTTCCCCAGTAATCTGAAGTAATATTTTCCAGTAATATTTTCCCTGCCGTTCTCCAGAGCCTGCAACTTGTTTTATTTCTATGTGACACCGAAACGAAACCCGTATGCCTAAAAATTCAATGTTATACTATAGGAAAGGCATTGATTATTTCAATGTCTCTTGAAAGCACTTCTCTGAAAGCGTTAGGATCTTTATCAACTGCAAGCTCCTCAACAGCATATTACTTTCTAAATAAAACACAATCCTCTTCTTCCCTCGCTTGCTTTTCAGCATGAATTATTTTATTTCCCTCATCTAAATTTTATGCATTTGAGTGTTGCAGGGAAAGTAATACGGTCCGGCGGTTTTTTCCCCCCAACAATTCTAAAAGTTCATGTCAAAAGTTCATGTTCACAGAACAGAGACCACAACGTAACATCCACTGATTACAAGCATATGCTTTCTTTCGTTTCCCCAGGTCTTCATTCTTACTTACAAAGGTCAAAGAACAGAAAGAGCAATGAAACATCTACAATTACACCTTGTATTTTTATCGTATTTTAGTAATTCAAAGTAATTTAATATTTTCTCATTAATCTCGACTCCATCTTTATTTTAGTGAGTTATAAACTTTCGGAACACCCTGTATATGCATGGACCAATTCAGACTTTCTTCATTTACCTCTCAAAATTACAGGAAGTTTTGGCAATCAAGTTGGCAATCAAGCTTCTTGTTTGGTGCAGGCGAATACGCTATCAGAGGGTTTTTTTTCGCCATCCGCTTACAGTTTCTGGCGGAACGTAAGGACCTGTGGTGGAGTGGACTACCCGCAGAATTTGTCAGATATATATCACATGAAAATACTGAATGAATATGTTACAGGGATATATGTTTCAGCCGAAAGGGTTGAGGTATGAGTGCATAATATTAATGTGCTGATGTAATGGTTACATTCTACGTGGACATTCTGGAGCAGGAATGTTCGGACATGGGCATTGTACTCGAGTCAGGTTTTCTTACGCCCTTCTGGTCTAGTCTCCGTTGTCCTGGTGAGGCCCTTTATCGCGCTAGCACAGTTAGTAGACCTCTATGTCCTTTCCTCCAGTTCGGTCAAAGGCGAAAGAGTCAACCTGTTTTGGGAAATGATGGGTCACTTGGGTTAGGAAAGGGTTGCGGCCTTTCGCCACGATTATTTTCTAATCCAACTGCTCCATCATCCCCCGAATTAGGCTGACTTAGGCTGGCATGGGGGCATGGTGACAGCCTGCTCGTGGCGCCCCTGCTAAGCCTTTGTGTCGCTGTTTCTGGGATACAAATGCAACTGATGTCACCAGAGAGACGTCCAAGCACCCCCCTGGGGTCTCCTGGACAACCTCAGCTCACAAAAGGCCCTTTCCAGGACCAAATATCCTTAGAGGACCACTCTTCATATTGTCCAACTAAACATCGAAGGGCTCTCTAGAGCCAAAGGGGAAGTCCTCTACAAACTCGTTGGTGATTATGCCGACGTTATTGTGCTTCAAGAAACCAAAGTGAAGGACGACACAAACCCAAGACTAAAAATCCCGGGTTTCTGCCTCGTGGATATGAAGGGAGACGACCGTTACGGGGTGGCTACCTATACAACGGCCCGACTTGCAACGGTCGCGTCACGCCGCC